GTGCACTCCATAAATGTTTGTCCTTTTTCTACTTGATACTATTATTACAGAGGAAAAATGCTTTTCTCCATAATTATTACCTGGATAAAACTTGCGGGTCTTTCTTAAAGTTCATATTCTTGTTGTCTCTGCTTTTACCATGGGGAGATATAGATTCATAGAAATACTATGAGTGACAATTTATGGTTCTCATATGCACAGTGCCCAAAATACAAATTGATACTTTCAAGAACAGTGTAGATTAGACCATATCTCATTGGCTGAAAAAAGGGAAAATAAGATCCTGGTTTTTAAAGACTTGAACTTAAATAACATTTATTAAAAACGACATGTCAAAATTCTCACCTAGTGCCATCATCACCCTCCTTTTCTCTACACCTCAAAACATTTATACCTTTTAGGGAGGACAATGCTTTGACAAGTAAATGTCACACCAGAAAATTACTATTTTGCTTCTATCATGCAGAGGGGAGAAAAATAATAGATTGTATGTAAATGCCTCACTAAACTGACTATAGCATAATCAGTTGTGTTGGGGGTCATATTGAGAGATTGTTCTCTTCAACAATAGAATAGACCATGCAAGTTTTGGAACTGTCAGTAAAAGCAGTGGGCTATTATGTTGATTATAGTATCGGGAGTCTTTTTAAAAGTCATCTAGAAATGATCATGAACTGTAGTGAGGGCATACTCCAGAGCTCTATTTTTGTCACACCATGGCAGCCTTTAGGCAAGATTTATTTTCAACTTCTCTCTAAAGGAGTTGGCAGGGTCTGGCTGGGCATCATTCTGCCTGCCCTAAGCTCCCATCCCTCCACCAGTTGATCTTTTCCCTCATCTATCCCATTGCTATTTTGGTAGTAATGATGAAAAGATGAGGGGTGTATTCAATCTGTGGAATTAGACCTACTGTTGCCACCTTGAGTTAAAATAAGATGTATCTGTCTTTTTTATTCTGTAGCAATTACAATAACGAAGGTTAATAATTTCTGCTGTTTTTGATGTCTTCAATAAAAGGGTTATTTTCCAGTACATAATACATTCTGATGTGAATGCCAATATGTTTCAAAATTCCTTTAGATAGTTTAGGACATACTCAAAGCTGCTCTGTCTAGCTGTGGTTCCAACATGCCCAAATGATTGAGGGTTTCATCACTGTTATTAGAATTCTATCACAAGGCAACTAAGGGAGTTTCTGGGACAAAGAGGGAAGAGGAATTTAGACTAAATTGAAACCATATCCTTGCATTGCTCTTTAATGATGCTCTCGGTTATTCTACAGAATGCTAGACTGTCCCTGTTCCTCCAGTTACTTATTCTACAAATGAAATACGTTGTATTCTTTATTTTCTAGGGCTCGGTTTCTCTCTTCATAAATGTATGATGAATAGTAATTTAATGAACACCTACACTTACAAGTATCTTCAGAAAAAACAACAAAACCCCTGAGGTTTTAGTGTCCTGCTTTAAAATCTTTCATGTAACAACCCCATATTCATGAATACAGGAACAACTTAAGCAACTGATACCATGGCCAGAAGGATGTCAGTATATCATTCTAGAATGAGTCATAGCACTTTGTATAAAAGTAATATGACTAATCATGGGTTGTTTGTGAAAGTGTCTCTCAAGAAAGGCATTATGAGACTGTTTCAAAAGAAAAAATCACAGATTTTGGGAGAGAAATTGGTGATTTTTTGGACATGAAACACTAGATCTCTTTTTTCTAATGTGTGTTTTGGTAGGTACTGGGTATCCTACCTTTGGACTTTTTCATTTTTGTGTGAAATACATCACAGAAATCTACTTTAATGCTCACTCTTTGGCATGATATATACATAGTCTTCATGAAAAATCTGAAGATTACTCATTGGTCCTGTTCTAATAATACATATAAAAGAAATCTTATAGAAAAAATAGGCACGGAGAAACCCAGAGGTCTTACATACAAAAGGAAAGCCAAATATTTGTGATAGTTAGTCACCATTATAAATAGATTTCACAGCAGCAAATCAAATGTAACATTAAATAATTCTGAAATAAAAGTAAACATTTTGTAAACATATTACATTATGGAGCAGAAGTTTAGTTCATTATGAGTGGATGTTAGAAGTAGGTGTTCTTAGAATTTAATGTTTCTGCTTAATATTAAATTTGGAATTTTAGTTCCTGGTGAAAAGAATGGCTCTGTAGGATACTGGAGCTTTCTCGCTTTTCACAAAGGAGCCAGACTGCCATTACACAAATAGATAATTTCCCAAGCTCCAAATTGACAGGGTAAATATCTGTTTACTCTCTGACAAAAGAGGTAAAAGTCTTCATTCTAATATTCCTACCCAGAAACAACTGAAAACATAGAACTGACCCATAAGGCCAAAGAATTATTTTCAAACTGTAGTAAAAAGGAATTGTACTCAAAAGCATCAACACCAATAATAACACAAAATTAAATACACACACACATTAAAACAACCCTTCCCCCAAAACAAAAACTTGCTTTTCAAGCTATTTTAATTATTGGCCATTTTCTTTGAGAAATTTCCTAAAAGTCAGTTGTCTTTGACAGTGGGGTGTTTCTTTCTGGGTCCTTCTCATGGCCTGCTGGAGAATTTTACTAAATTATAGTTCAGTAGCTGGACAGAGTTTCATGTACAGTTCTCTAACTGCCTGTGGTATTGGTCAAGATGGGTTAAGCAGTTTTTGGTTGTCTTGAAGTGGAATATTGTGTTTGGAGGCGAAGTCCACTGCATAATGATTCCCAGTGCTCACTGACTAATGAGGGGTGGCATTACTACGAAGCTGTGACTGTGCGCCCAGGTAACAAGTCACACCTGAACAGCTGGGTAGAGAGTCACAGTTTTATCCAAAGTTGACTACTTTTCAGTAAATATTTGTTTTAGGGGCATGGAAAAGTATGTTTCTGTTCAATAACTGATTTTAGTATTTCTTTTTTTAAAGATTTTATTTATTTGAGAGAGAGAGAGAGATCACCAGCTGGGGGCTGGGGGTGTGTGTGCAGAGGAAGAGGGAGAAGTAGGCTCCCTGCTGAACAAGGAGCCTGATGTGGGGCTGGATCCCAGGACCCTGAGATCATGACCTGAGCCAAAGCCAGATGCTTAACCAACTGAGCCACCCAGGTGCCCCAATTTTAGTATTTCTTAATTTTGCCTGTGGGGTGAATAGTTTGGTCAATTGATATGGCAAACATGAAGAATTTGAAAACAGACCCATCTTCAAGTATTTTAAAGGATTAAAGTCCCCCCCAAAACTGATGGTTTTATGTTTCTCATTCTAAAACTTTATATATATATAGACATATCTCGGTAGAAATGCATTTATAAACATGAGCACATTTATAAACATGGGGGTATTGAAGAAAAGGGACAGAATTGCACACAAAGTTGTAAAAATTGTTACAAATCATAAGGTGATCAAACACTAAAATATGTATCTTTCAAGGGAGAAATAGCAGATACCAATGGTAATTACTCTAAAGTAAAAGATGAGCGTGGAATAAATATCAGAGAGAAAAGAACTGCTCTTCAGGATAATAGCATGTGCTTTAAAAAGAGAATTTAAGCATAAATACCTTTAAAAAGTGAATTCAACTTCCTTTCTACTTTTTTCTTATAAGTCAGCCCCATACCTGTCCCAATGTTCAAAGAGCCAATGCTCCAATGGTTCCTAAACCTTCAGTTTAAAACCATTGAGAGGCTTTGACCTTTTACTTCAGTAAGAATGTGGTGAAGTGAGATCATTTTGTTCCATATTTAAATTTTGCATTTTAACCTTCTTTACCCATTATGAAAAATAAGAGCACCAATTCATTGCAGCTGCCTGTTGACACACATTATTTTTGACCCTGTTTTTCATTGTACCCAACAACAGCATTATGTAGCAGATCACTGGTTCCTATTTCCAATTTTTTAGCTCTACCATATAGTATGATATTGCATTTCACTGTTTACTTACCTACCCCGCTTTGCTAGATTGTGAGCTCTTTAAAGATGGAAAATATGTTTTACTCCACTCCCACTCTTTCATCTAGCATAGTGCACTCAATAAATATTCTATTAAAAAATGCTCTAGATATTCTTGCAATTGAACATATCTACCATGTTAAATTCAGAGTATTCTCTTTTGAGTCCTATTTCAAACTTGCCTTTTATTTTAAAGTCAGGCAAACAAGCAATCCAAACTTGTTTCTCTGTGTTAAGCTAACATGGGCATTAAAAAAAATAATACGCCACTGTGATTTTCACTAAACTAGGAAAGGTTATTTTTGAGCTGCTGGGACTTCAGATATTTGAAGTAGTAATTACTTCCTCCATAAATGTTACCTTTTACAGTCAAATACTGCTTTCCTGTAGCCGTTCAACTTTTTACTTAAAGGAAAATGTCTTTTATTTACAATACACCCTGCTATATTATTACATGTGGTAATTCTCCTTTTATTTGTTTTGGTAGCACTGTAAAGTTGAGGAAGCATCATAATAATAATGACGGTAGCTTACATTTACTCAGTATTTATTCTGTGCCAAGCATTTCACTAAGTACTTTACATGAACTATGTCATTTAATACCCACATAAAATTTATGATGTGTGTGAATTTATATATCTCTATCTCTCTATCTAGTCTTAGGCGATTTTCTGACTAGTAAGTGGTGTGGTCAGGATAATAATTCAGGGAGAACCATCTCTAGATTTTTTGCTCTTGGTTCTTTAAAGATCTGAGTGTACAGCAAATGTTTATACTATATTTTGATACTATATTTTACATAATTCTAGAACCATGACCTGTTTTAGTGAAGTACTTGTGTTATCGGTTATAAAGCAAACAAACAACATATGTTGGATTGTACTTAATTAAATGCTATCAAGTCACTGAAACTAAGACTCAAGGAGTATTTCTTCTATATTGAATGGATGAGATATCAACTCTTACCTTATGATTATCAGCATTTCATGTTAAAACTGACTGTTATCATTTATAACTTACCGTAGACTTGGGTTTGGTTCCAGAACTGGCCACTGGGCTGGAAGATGGTAGGTCGGTAGATTCAGAGTTGGAAGACAAATTTATTTGTGTCTGATTTACTGAAATGGTATCTGCTCCACTCTCAGATCCTGACTCCAGATCCTATTAAAAAAATGCATTGATATGAAAGGCATGTACATACTCTCTTCAGGCCTTTTTCCCCTGCTACCAGCATCTTTCCACCTCTTCCTACTCCCAACACACACTGACATGCTAGAGTTGCTGACAACTGACACTGACATGTCACCCATAACCATGCATTAGTTTGTAATAAAGAACTGTAACTTTTCAGAGGGTCTGATTTTAAAGGGCAAATACTAGAGAAAGTGTTAATATACTTCTTTAGTAATTAAACAGCTTATTGAAAATTAGAAGGGCAGTAGTGGGAGCTAGCTGGGCACTGCAGTAAGTCAGGAGGTAGAAGCCCATAGATACCCCTTACTCACTATATGACCTGAGTAACTCACTTAACATCCCTTATGCAAGAGGGAGATTGTGAGTGTCAAATGAAAAGACAGTTCTCATTTCTCCTCACCTCATTTTTGTCTGTGTTCTCATCTGACCTCCATGGTGATACCTACAATGGCTTGGATTCATTTAGTCTGTCTACCTAATAAATTATGAGCTATTTGAGTGCTAAGAATTATGCTTTGACATGTGTGATTCAATTCCCTCATTTGGAAATGGGTATAATAGAGTTCAGGTTCAAGATGGTGATGTAGGAAGATTCTGAAATCACCTCCTCCACAGATCATACCAAATTACACCTATTAATAGAACAAATCCTTGTGAAGAACTGAAAATTGACTGACTAGCTACTGAACAACTAAAGACAGAGAGAATGGCAAGAGAACAGCAATAAAGATGGATGGTAACAAAGGGAACTCCTGCTCCTAACACTGCAAATGGCAGTGGGGAGGGAGGGATAGCACTGAGGGACCAGGAACAGGCCCCTCTGTCTTTGGGCACAGAAAAAACAAAAAACAAAACAAAACAAAAAACACAAAAAACAAAACATGGTTTAAAAGAGCAACTAGCACAGAAAACAGACAACAATAGAACTCTGCCAGGCTGCAAAGGAGCTGCAAGAAAGCTCTCCAGGTCTGAGGAACTGGAGAACAAGCCGGTTTATATTCCCATCCCACCTTAAAAGCCTAGACTGCAGCAGGATCCAGACACCATAATGGGAGTGCCCAGTTATCTCTGTGAGTTTGCAACTCCAGTGAGCCCAGGGTCTGCAAGCCCACACCAGCCCTAGTCATGCTGGGGCACAGAAAAGAGAAGGCAGAGTTTAAAAGGGCTGAGGAACTGTGAGGATGCTCTCTCCCCCTCAGCCTTAAAAGCCCAGGCTGGAGCAGGATTTGGCTGTCAAGAGGAGAAGTTTCAGACACCACAAATGGAGGGTCCTAATGGCATACCAGGAAGGTCCTGATGGGTCTAGTTGTCATAGGGAGTTTGTAGTCTCAGTGAGCCCAGGGTCCACCAGCCTACACCAGTCACCCTGTGACTGGGGCAGAGAAAATAGGCCAGCCATGGTTTTGTGTTTTGTTTTTTTAACTTTTAATTATTCTAATTTTTTTTTTTTTTACATTTTAAAATTTGTCCTGTCTTGTTTTAATTTTATTCTTTTTGATTTTGTTCTTTCTTCTCTTTTTTCTTTTCTTCTTTTATTTCATTATTTTCTTTTGTCTTTTATATTATTTTTTTCTTTATTTAATTTTTCTAATTAATTTTTTCTAATATTTAATTTTATTAGAAAATAACTAGCACATACAGCTAGCCAACAAAAGCACAGCGCAGAGTCTACATAGGGGACACCATACACAAGACCACTCCTTCAACTTCAGGACAAGTAGCTGTTTCATCTAATCCACAGAAACAAACAACAGGAAGTCAAGCAAAATGGGGAAAGAGGAATATGCTCCAAAAGAAAGAACAAGAAAAAAACCTCAGAAAAGAACTAAATGAAACAGATATAAGCAATCTGTCTGATAAAGAATTTAAAGTAATGATCATAATCATGCCCACTGGGCTAAAGAATGGAAGAGCTCAGTGAGACCTTCAATAAAGAAATAGAAAATATTAAAAAGAACCAAGAAAAGTTGAAGAATACAATAACTGAAATAAAAAACACACTAGAGGGAATCAACAGTAGATGAGGGGATACAGAACAGATGAGTGATCTGAAGGAAAGGATAATGAAAAGCATACAAGCTTAAGATCAAAAAGAGAAAATAATTTTAAACCATGGGGATAGACTGAGATCTCTTGGACAACATCCTGTGAACAAATATTCATATTATAGTGATCCTTGAAAAAAAGAGAAAGGTGTAGAAAACAGATAGAAATAATAACTGAATACTTCCCTAACCTAGGAGGGAAATAGATACCTAAGTCCAAGAAGAACAGAGAGTTCCAAACAAGATGAACCCAAGGAGGTCCATGCCATGGCACATAATGATTGAAATGTCAAAGGTTAAAGATAAAGAGAGTATCTTAAAAACAAGAGAGAAACAAAGAGTTACTTACAAGGGAAAACCTGTAAGATTATCTGCTAATTTTCCAACAGAAACTTTGCAAGCCAGAAGAGAGTGATATATATGATATATTCAAAGTGCTGAAGGGGGGGAAAAAAAAACAACCTATAAATAAGAATACTCTATCTGGCAAGGTTATCATTCAGATTTGAAAGAGAAATAAAGAAATTCCCAGACAAACAAAATATAAAGGAATTTATCACCACTTTACTAGCCTTACAAGAAATGTGAAGGGAACTTCTTTAAGTGGAAAAGAAATGGCCATAATTAGACATAAGAAAAATATGTATAAAAAGATATAAAATATAACAACATATATTCTTTCTTTCCTTCCTTCCTTCCTTCCCTCTTCTTTCCTTCCTTCTTTCAATGTGTTTGAACTTAAATGACCATAAAATGAATATGGACTGCTATTAACTTAGGATGTTATATGTGAACCTCATGAAAAATCACAAACCCCAAACCTATGGTAGATACACAAAAAATAGAGAAATAAAGCCAAACAAAACACTACAGATATCCATCGATTAAAAGAAAGAGATCTAGAGAAGAAGAAAGGAACAAAGAACTACAAAAACAACCAGAAAACAAAATTTTAAAACGGCAATAAGAATATACCTATCAATAATTACTTTAAATTGAGCCCAGATGTCCATTGACAGAGGAATGGATAAAGCAGGTGTGGTATATATATACAATGGAATATTACTCAGCCATCAGAAAGGATGAAATCTTACCATTTACACTGACGTGGATAGAACTGGAGGTTATTATGCTGAATGAAATAAGTCAATCAGAGAAAGACAATTATCATATGGTTTACTCATATGTGGGATATAAGAAACAGTGCAGAGAATCCATAAGGAAAGGGAGGGAAAACTGAATGGGAAGAAATCAGAAAGGGAGACAAGCCATGAGAGACTCTTAACTATAGGAAACAAACTGAGGGTTGCTGGAGGGGAGGTGGCTGGGGGGATGGGGTAACTGGGTGATGGTCATTAAGGAGGGCATGTGATGTGATGAACACTGGGTGTTACATGCAACTGATAAATTACTGAACTCTACATCTGAAACTCATGATGTACTATATGTTGGATAATTGAATTTAAATAAATAAAAAATAATTACTTTAAATGTAAATGGCCCAAATGCTCTAACCAAAAGACATAGAGTGGCAGAATGGATAAAAAAAAACCAAGACCCATCTATATGGTGCCTACAAGAAACTCACCTCAGACCTAAAGACACATATAGTCTGAAAGTGAAAGGGAAGGAAAAGCATTCGCCATGCAAATGGAAGTGAAAAAAAAAAAAGGCAGGTTAGAAATACTTACATCAGACAAAACAGACTTTAAAACAAAGACTAATGAGACAAAGAAGGGCATAATATAATGATAAGTGGATCAATTTAACAAGAGGATGTAACATTTGTAAATATCTATACACCCAATACTGGAGCACCTAAATACAAAAAACAAATACTGATGGACATAAAGAGAGAAATTGATGGTAATACAATAATACTAGGGAACTTTAACACTTCACTTACATCAATGGATGGATAGATCATCCAGATAAAATCAATAAGGAAACAATGTCTTTGAATGACACACTGGACCAGATGGACATAACAGATATATACAGAATATTCCACCCAGAAACAACAGAATACACATTCTTTTCAAGTGCACATGAAACATTCTCCAGAACACATCCACATACTAGGCCATAAAACAAGCCTCAATAAATTTAAGAAGACTGGTATCATACCATGCATCTTTTCTGACCACAGTGGTATGAAACTAGAAATAAATCACAAGGAAAAAAACTGGAAAAAACACAAACATGTGGAGACTAAACAAGAGGATACTAAACAACAAACATATCAATGAAGCAATCAAAGAATAGAAAATTTAAAAAAATACATGGAGAGAAATGAAAATGAAAGTACAATGGTCCCAAATCTCTGTGACAAGGCCAAAACAGTTCCAAGAGGGAAGTATAAAGCAATACAGCCCTGCTTCAAGAAATAAGAAAAAAAACAACAAACAACCTAACCTTACACCTAAAGGAACTAGAATAAGAACAAACAAAGCCCAAAGTGAATAGAAGAAAATAAATAATAAAGACCCAGAGCAGAAATAAATGACATAGAGACTAAAAAATAAATAAAATGATCAATGAAAACACGAGCTGGTTCTCTGAAACCAAATCGACAAACCCTTAGCCACATTCATTAAGAAAAAAAGGGAAATGACCCAAATAAATAAAATCAGAGATAAGGAGGAGAAGTAACAACTGACATCACAGAAATACAAAGGAGTACAGGGGAATACTATGAAAAATTATATGCCAACAAACGAGACAATAGAAGAAGTGGATAAATTCCTAGAAACATACAATCTTCCAAAAATGAACCAGGAAGAAATAGAAAATTTAACAGACCAATTATAAGTAATGAAAATGAACTGGCAATAAAAAAAACTACCAAAAAATAAAAGTTCAGGAACAGAGAGATTCACAAGTGAATTCTACCAGACATTTAAAGAAGAGTTAAGATCTATT